ACTTCTCCAGGGAGCTGTGGCTCTGTGTCTTTTTTCTTTGGGATGGCAGGCAATACCCAAACTTTTCTTCCAGGGAATATTTTTGGGGACCACACTAGATAATCAGGACCCCCAATGGCTTCCGAGTTAATTCCGAAGATTCCACATTTGTAGTTCTTGGGGCCCGTTTCCCTCTCCTGCCAGCCCTTCAGCAGCTCTCTTTCCTCCTCTGGGACATCAGAGTATTCCTCACTTCCCAGCATCTTTGGGTTTTCTTCCAGCCAGCAAGGACTCACCCTTCTTTCTGCTGGGAAAACCCTAATCGTGTTTGCTTGGTGCCCTTGCTCATACCAGTCTCTGGTCTTGCTCCTTCTTTAAGGCTGTCTTTGATTCTTGGGAATCCCATGTCTGCCATGGAGAAGCTAGAAAAGCCCTTGGGCCATATTTCAAAAGACCCATCAGGAAATTCTGAACATGTTTTGAAACTCTTACTAATTCTATGGGATTACAGAGGTTTATAAACCGCATTCCACATTTTTCCCTTGGTATTCTCACATACTTCTAAAATGTCAAAGGGACTAAATTTCTCTTTATTCAGATATTAAACATGTATGGAAACTCTTGGGGAGAAGAATTAAGATGCTCACTCTGGTTTCCCTTTTAAAATCTCCTAGCTAGGATTGTATGACGATTAATGGAGGTTTCCATTATTATTTGGCAATAGAGTACAAATATAACTGCATCTTTTCTCCTATTGTTTTCAAAAAAGTTTTTTGATGAAACAATAGGTCACTTTTATAAAGTACTTAATTTATGCCAAGGACATTCAGCTCTTTCTGTGGCCTAGTTCACGTGAGCTTCCTCCAGCCTGAGAGGCATTATGATCTGCATTTTAAAGATGAGAGACCCTAGGGTAAAAGAGGTAGGTCGTCTTCCTCAAGGATTTGTGACTGCTTTTCTTGATGGTAAACTCCTCCAAGAGACATGAAATTCTAGAGTCAGTCTGCAAAGCAATCAGTCAGAGTCACTATGGAAACCCCTCGATCGATCCAGGTGAGACCGGCATGTGGAGTTCACTGGTGATGCCTGTAAGACAAGCATCTGTTAATTTCATCAATGTTCCCAGCCAGATAATGGACAGAGGGAAAGGGCAATGTGATAGGAAGTGACTTGAGGAGATTTGGGTCATCTTTTGAAGCTAGGCAGTGACCGGGGGCAAGTGGTTTGGTGTCTCAAGGTCTCCTTGAAGGAAGAAAGGTTTTGGAGTTGGTCCTCTGGCTTCGTACACTCCCCAAACCCCTGTAGTTGGTTGGGTTCCTTTCCCGTTACCGTGACATCCTACCTTTCAGAGGCGTTCTGCGCTGTAAGATGCACCCCACCTGGGACAGGAAGCTGCGTGTCCCTTAAAGGTAGAAGGAAATATAAAAGGTCATCATAGGGCAGTATTCTGCAGTCTCGAGGATTGTACACTGTGCTTTTAAAGAAAGAACATTCTTGATAACTCTGTGTGCTGACTCGAGGCATTTTTATTTAAATGTTACTTACAAGTGCACGAGCCCAAAATTAAACTCGTTTTATTTATGGCCAACTAAAAAATCAAAACTCACTTACAAGTTAAATATAACTGAGACTAAAAGAACCCCAAAATATTCAAATTAGCAACATTAATTTAATGCAGCAGCTGATGTTTTGTGGGAAGCCGATGGCTGTGCGCAGTGTGAGTTACTTCTCATTGCTGGGTGCAGGTTCTTTGAGCTTATCAGGCCCATTTTGTGCTGACTCAACACACACACACACACTTTTCACTTTTCCAGTTGCTTTCAAACTTGAATGTGCATCAGAAGCACATGGGGGTCTTGCAAAAGCACCCCCAGAGTTTCTGACTCAGTAGGTCTGGAGTGGCCCCCAAGAACGTGCATTGTCAACAAGTTCTTAGGTGGTGCTGATGCTGCTGGTCCGAGGACCATACTTTGGGAACCGCCCCACTCTTCCAATCATCAGGAGACTTTATTTCCCGCAGATCTAAGCACAGATGCATCACATCCCTGACAAATTTACCCCTGCTCCTTTGTCATTAGGCTGTGACAATAAAAGTGATTTTTTTGTTTGCAAAAATTATGCATTGGTAAACAAATGCAAAAGCATGCGCAGAAACAGAGTGTGTGTACGGTGGAAGGAGTTCTTGGTTATATGGTGGGTATCTGATGTCCCTGGCTATGCTTTGTCAAATATTTTAGTATATCACCAAAAAGAAAATCAAAATTAGAACTGCCAAACCCCCGAGCATGTGTCTGTGTACCTCAATTTGAGAAACGCTGCATGAGTTGGGCATAATAAAACACTTATCTGCAGGAAAAAATGATATTGTGTAAGTACCAGGCTCTTCAGCTTTACGTACAACTGTTAGAGCCAAGATTAGGCACACAGAGGCGGTGAGCAGAGACAGAATTTTTTTTTTTCCCCTTTAGCTCAATTCACTCCAACTCTGTTCAAATAGTAGGTCTTTGCTATAGAGCATGAAAACGTTAAAACTCATTAACTGCGTGAACCTCCTGGTGTGTATTCAGGGCAGAGAGCTGGATTGTTGAGGGGACTCCAAACCGTATCACATAAAGCACAGGCAAAGGGCCTGGGGTCCTTGGCCTGGAGAAGACCCAGATGGGTAGGAAGGTCCTGGTTCCAGTTTTTAAATATGTGAAATGCAAACCACGGAAGAGCGACTGGTCTTGCTCCACAAGCAGTGGGTAGAAGATGTCAACTTCGGCTTAGTATTGGGAAGCCTTCCTCATGCACAAAGTCATCTGAGTGGAATGGGTTGGCTCAGGAGTGTTGGAACAGCCTGTCTTGGAGGCTGTTCCGTGTTCCCCCAAAACAACTTTGTGATATGTACCAGAAGGTTTCCGTCCATAAAAACCATGTGTCCAAGGCCTCTTTGTATGCAGAAATTCTATAATTTGGGGGCCGTTTTAACTTCGCCTCTTATCAGTCTCCAAGAATTCTTCAAAGCAAGGATGTTCCGCTCTACCCCAAATATACCCCAAACGCAGCATTGCATAGTAGGTTCTCAAATGTATCGTCAGCCCTAGTACTCCTTCCCTCTACACCCAACTGTCGCTCCTCCCTACTTCCTCAGCCCTGCCACACTGTTAGCACCGCTGCTCCAGCTTTCCAAGTTTGCCATCGGGCATGTACCCCCCAGAGGTCCCCAGTTTGTCTTCGCCTCTGCCTTTCTGTTGCGCGCCACCACTCCCATTCCGACTTTAACAGCCACCTGGTGGATTTACTGCCGTAGTTTGCTGCTTTCCATTCTGAACCTCTTTAATCCACTTGTACAAAGTGACCGCTCCCCGAATTATTTGGCCATAGAGGTTTTATTCACCTAACATCTCTTCCCCCGCTGGGGGTGTGTTCCGCTGTGCACGCAGGGAACTGCTGCTCGAGACAGCTGTGCGTGTGCCCTGGTCATCCCCATCTCCATTGCGTTCTCTCCCCGTAGCTGGCCCTCCGGACAAAGGCACATGAGCTCACACACACAGACTCACCACCTGAGAGATCTCCCTTCTTGTAATTTATAAATCTCTCTCTCCCTTAATCGAACTCCTCCTGTGGTCAGAAGCCACACGGCTCAGCATTTTCTTCCTCCCTTTGCGCTCACACCACTGGAGAGGATTGTGCTCATTATTTGTTTACGTGTTGACAGCCCATCTCCTTCCCCGCTCTAAAGCCAGGAGGGCAGGTCCTTCCCGGGCTCCCCAGTACCTGGCACCTACAACCCTGCCTGGGGCAGAGAGCCGTCCAGCAAGTATTTGCGGAATGAATGTTTATGTATCTGTCTCCTTCACTCAACTGTGAGTTCAGAGTGGGAACCGGTCTTAGCATATGTCTGAAATTTGAGAACGATCTCTAGCTGGGCCCCAGTACCTGTCATTATCTGGAATGCCATAATTCAGAGGTGCCTCTGTGGAATTGGGCCTCAAGCGTCTTAATTTCAGTCCCATTGGGTTTGTTTTGACTGGAAATCTTATTGCCTGTTTTTAAAGCATGTTCCCTTGGGCGCTTTTGAACACTGGAGACCTCTTGGTAGGCAGGCATTTCATCCCCATCAGGAAATCTCATCAAAATGATATTAGGTTTGCACATTAGGAAAATAAAAATCCTCTGAGAAGATGTTGGCTTTGGATATAAGCAGTTAAGCCCACTCCGAAGGTATTTCAACCACATCTGAGATGCTGGGGTCAGGGCCGGTGGCAGAGTCTCACAGTGAACAGTAAAATTAAAAAATAAAGGGGGAAAGGAGACCTCCACAGGAATTTTTCTAGTTACAAGTCAAAGCAAAATTCAAGGGTAGAGCAAAACACTGGGGTTTGGTACGAGGCTTCGAAGTGGCGCCCCAGCTCGCTAGCTAGGCTGTGACTGGTGCTCCCAGGCAGGGCTTTCTCTGCATTTTTTTTTTTAGAGACAGTCTCGCTCTGTTGCCTGGGCTAGAGTGCCGTGGCATCAGCCTAGCTCACAGCAACCTCCAACTCCTGGGCTCAAGCGATCCTCCTGCCTCAGCCTCCGGAGTCGCTGGGACTACAGGTGTGCACCACCACGCCTAGCTAATTTTTCTATTTTTTAGTAGAGACAGGGTCTCGCTCTTGCTCAGGCTGGTCTCAAATTCCTGGCCTCAAGCGATCCTCCCACCTTGGCCTCCCAGAGTGCTAGGATTACAGGCGTGAGCCACCTCACCCCGCCTCTCTGCATTTTTTTGATCTGGCCTCTTCCAAGTTCCACCTTGTAAGTCACCCTTGGAGAACCACAAAGTGACAGGACTACTCTTATTTGAGGTTCCTAACGTCTCCCAGTTGTTTCTCCCGTCGTCTGGTCCAGGCGTCCTTGCTGTTGACATCTTCCTACCACAGCATTCGGAGAGAGCAGAGGGTCCTGGCTCCCCTCAAGGAGGTGGCTAAGCCCCTATCCTCTTTGTCTTCCCCTCCCTGGGGCCTGATTCTGGTCTCACTCGTCGCTGTCTCTCTTTCCAGAGGCGTGAACATGTATGCCATGCTGACTGGGACGCTGCCCTTCACCGTGGAGCCGTTCAGCCTTCGGGCTTTGTACCAGAAGATGGTGGACAAGGAAATGAACCCCCTCCCCACGCAGCTCTCCACAGGTAACGCACCTGCCGCTCCGGATTAGGGCTCAGGACTTTCATTCTGTTTGGTTTGGGTCCATTTGTGAAGCAGTATTTGTTTTGCAGCAATGGTGTTATGACTGCTACTCCATGGCTGAGTTTCTTCCTAGTGTTAAAACTCAACCTCAAGAGGTGATTGGGTTTCCCGTCTCTCAGCAGCCACTCCCTGCCTCTCACCTGTACCCTTTCCTATTCTGTTCTAATTTCAAACCCCTAACTTCCTTCTTCCTCCTTCTGCACAAAACACACAGATCAAAAGGATCTGCTAGTCTCCATTTGAAAAATAATCGTGGGCTTGATTGTCCTAAAACTCACCATATAATGTTGACTTGGAAAAGAGGGTTTGTAATCACATTTCTATCGTGTCTTCTTTAGTCAGTTCACTGTAAAGAAATATTGATATCATTCAACTTGGGTCTGTGATTTGTTTTGTTAGTTGAGTTTTTGAGCCTGTTCAAAAGCTTTTAGATATACATAGCTTCAGTTACTTCATTAGACTGAATCATCAGGTGTGTTTGAAAAGTATTCTCAAACTTTACCTGGTTCGTATTTCAGTAAATGGTTTGTATTGAGGTTTGGTTTCAAATCCAGTAAAGGAGCACAATTTGTTCTTTTGTTTGGTCCACAGTTCAAGTTTCTGGCCTCAGTGTGGCTTTGATGATCATTTAATTGACTCTTAGAATAAACTCGGCTTTATTGAGATGAGTCTTTTGACCTAAAAAAGAAAAAAGTAATTATTTAACTTCAACTTATGATACATGGTTAAAATATAGCATTTTTATTTCACCGCTTTTATGTATTTTTCTCTTGCATTTATAAAGCATGTGTGAAGCTGCGCTTGAGTTTATCCTTGCCAAATGGAATCCAAGCTGAAATGCATTCTTGTGTGTAATTATCAAATTCGGCCCATACTTTCGCCTTTAGGGAGGGTAGAATCTCTGGAGACTGAAAGCAAAGGAGGCATTATGTCCTTGGGAAGATAAGCTACGCTTCCGTCATTATAAAAGAAATATTTCTGCACTGAGAGCCATAACTCTCGGAGTTAGGAAGTGTGCAAAATATCGAACGGATTGATATATTTTGGTTTTAGAGCTTCGAGAAATGTAAGTGCTGCGGAGCACCATGAGGAGGGCTCGCTTGTTCATTCATGCACTCATTCCATATTTTATCTGTATTAGCTTGTCCCATGGATATATATTGTGTGCCAAGCGGGTGTGTTCTAGGTTGAGGAGGACAGAACAAATCAGACAGTCTCTGCTCTTACACAGCTTATATATCAGCGGGAGACGCAAAAAATTAATGGATAAACAAACGTGTGATCTTTGGTAGTGTCAGTGCTCTAAATAAAATAAAATAAATCAGGATAAGGGGATAGTTTTTTTTTGACACATAAGATTCTTTTAAAAACTTCGTATTATGGCATAATTGGAGTTTCACACGCAGTTGTAAGAAATAACACAAAGAGATCCGTGTACCCTTCACTCAGTTTCCCCCAGTGGTAATATCTTGTATAATATCACCACCAGGAGATTAGCACTGCTGAAATCCATCGATCTTATTCAGATTTCACAAGTGTTATGTGCACTTAGGTATGTGTTGGTGTGTTTTTAGTTCTATGCAGTTTTATCACCTGTGTAATTCGTGTGACAGCCACCACAGCCATGGTATGGTGCAGTCCCATTGCAAGGATCCCTCTGCTACTCCTCTTCCTCCCCTCTGTCTACACCCCATCGACTGCCCTGTCCCCATCTCTATAATTTTGTCATTTCAAAATGTTTTTGATATAAGTGTTGTATATAAATAGCTTTTTTAACTGAGAATAATTCCCTTGAGATCCATCCAAGTTGTTGCAAGCATCAGGACTTTGTTTCTTTTTGTTGGTGAGTAGTATTCCCTGGCGAGTGAAATTGCCGGGTGGGGTAGTGAGCACATGTTTAGTCTTGTAAGAAACTGTCAGCCTCTTGTTGAGAGTGGCTCTACCATTTTGCATTCCCACTAGCAATTTGCTAGCGATCTCCGCATCCTTGCCAACATTTGATGCTATGGCTGTTTTTTAGTCATTCTGGTAGGGGTCTAATTATATCTCATTGTGGTAACAAGATCTGATATTCACTAATAAATGCAGTCTTTCAAGGGAGTCTCTTTAAGGAGTGTATAGTCATGAATATTGCCATCTCTCAGAGTGATTCTGAAGTTCTGATGACTCAGAGCCTATTTCGTCCTAAGTGACCCATACCAAAGGGTGATAGGAAGATGTTTGTATCCCCAGGCTTGGGAAGGGCACACAGTGTCACTTTGAATTTCAGTGAGACCCTGAGGAGCTGGAGAACTGCTGATCCGCCGCCTTCTCATTGTGCTAGTTAGGACAGGTCAGGTTGTGCTGCAGTAATAATCAGCCCCCAGATCACAGTGGCTTAAGACAACAAAGGCTTATTTCTCACTCATGCTACATACATATCTATTGAGAGTTAGATCAAGCATTGAACAGTTCTGCCCAACCTAGGGCCCCAGACTGATGGTGTAGCCACCATTTCCAGCATTCTTGGTTCATGCAGAGGGAAAGAGGGAAAGGGAAGGAGAAGGTCTCTCACCAGCAATTAAATCGCCCACCAACATGTCGCTTCCACTCATAGCTCGTAGCTTTCTAAAACATGGCACATGGCTTCACCAGCTAAAGGGCATGGGGCAGTGCAACCCTACAATGTGTACTGAAAAGTGCAGAGCCAGAAATATTAGTCAAACAGCATCAGTGTGAGCCACACACAGGCTGTGGGAGGAGGAGTAGGCAATTCAGCCTGAGTTCATCAAGGGATGGGCTGGGCAGCTGGGCAAGGACAGGTAGGTTAGTAACACAGAAAATCAGTCTCATGCCAGGTGCAGTGGCTTACGTCTACAATCTCAGCAGTTTGGGAGGCCAAGGCGGGAGGATTGCCTAGGGCCAGGAGTTCGAATCCAGCTTGGGCAACTTAGGGAGACCCCATTTCTACAAAAAGTTTTTAAAAATTAACTGGTGTGGTGGCACATGCCTGTAGTCCTAGCTGCTCAGGAGACTGAAGCAGGAGGATCACTTGAGCCCAGAAGTTGGAGGTTATAATGAGCTGCAATTTCACCATTGCACTCCAGCCTGGGCCACTGAGCAAGATCCTGTTTAAAAAAAAAAAAAAAAATCAGTCTCATAACTTCAGAACCATACCTTGTTTTTGCTCCCAATAATATTATACAGTCTTAGCAGGCTGGGCTCTAAGTGGTTTTTGATTGTGAAAATTAAATTTACCCTTAAAGAAGTAAAAGTTGCACTCCTGAAGATGTTCAAAAGAAATCCAAAGGTAATTCCAAAGAAGAAATATTAAAAATGTTCCAGGCAATTTTAGCATCACTGGAGTTGGTGTCCGACCTCACATACATATAATAGCTCCTGCTCTGAGCAGTTTTTACTTTGGCCTTAAGCTCTGTGTGTGCTTACTAAAGATCTTCACATTCCTATAAGACTTTGTTGTCTTGACTTGTCAAGCATGAATTGCATTTCTATATCTGATTTGCCAACTTAGGAATATGGTAGCAACTCCCCTGCCAATTTTTTTTTTTTCTACTGGGATATATAAATATGTCTCCATAACTAGGGTTTTGATTCTTTCTGCGAGATACCAAGCGCAGTGTTTGCACATGATAGAGGCTCAGGGAGTCTAAGTTGCTGTTAAAGTGCACGTGTGACCTGGAAAGGTGACTCATACATTCTTTTGATGACTCAGAGCAGGGAGTTGGCCTGTACAGTAGAGCCCAGAGCACTGCACCAGCTGCCGAGGTAGCCCGGGGCATCTTACCTTGTTTAAAGAGTGAATGACTTTGGGTTTGGGCATCGGCTGCTATCCTTCTGATAGCCCCCTGTTTTTCTAGCCTTTTGCACCCCACTGAGTGTATGTCCTCTCCCTTCCAATGAGCCTGGCCCACCTTTATTGATGATACCATATGACACCCTCTGCTTACATCCCAAAATATTAGTACTAGTTTGCCAGTAACAAGGGTAGCTGCCATTTTATTGAACGATCATGTGCTTTTCATGTGATCTTGTCTCTACACAACTCTGCAAGGTAAGGACTATTATTCCCCATTTACCAAGGAGGAAACTGAGTCCCAGAGAGATTAAGTCCTGCTTGACCGAAAACCTGGATTTTTCTACTATCCTGTGCTGCTTCTCTCCCCTTTCTGGCTCTATTTAATGTAAGATGGGCCCTCCCTAAGGTTCGAGGGTATTATCTGCTGTCTATGTCTTTATGTTTCGAGTAACGTCAATCCAAATCGAAAATGTGCCAGTTCTGTTAAGTGTCTTGCTAACACACATCTTTAGTAATTGGATGATTCTGTTACTCCTGTTTGTAATGGTCTCATCTGTTTTATTCTACTGCCCTTTTTTTAGATTAAGTTGGAAGAATTTTTACCAAATTGGAGTTGAAAACAGTGTTATTTCCTTGTGAATCCGTGGAGTGTGCTTCCAAACAACCGCCGTTGTCATGTTAATAGTTCGAACACTGAAGCTCTGGGTGCCTTTCTGATTCTCTGCCCCAGACAGCTCCTCTCTGCTTGTTGGCACTTGTGTGTCACAGCGCAGCGAGTGGCTTTTGTGACTTAGAGGCTTTTCAGACAGTTGCTTACCTTTGCGTTGCCACACCTCACCTGTAGCATTGATAATACATTCCAAGCAGTCACTTCCTATCAAGAGGGTTTTATGTCTCGAATTCACCGAAGTCGAGCTGAGGGAGCAGTCTAAGCTTTTGTGAGGGTTGAGCCAGTGCTAATTAAGGTGTCCTGGAAGGTTTGACTGTCAGAGTGTCAAGTAATTCTTTAGCTTTCGAGGTGATGAACGGGGAGCTTAGGGTGGGGATGGGGCTCTACTTGCATCCAGCAGGCCACCCTAACGTGAAAAGTCCAATGGCTTTGTCTGTCGCCTATGGCCCTTCCTTGGGCATAGCCTCCGGGTGCTCACACAAGCCAGTCCAGACTTTGGGAGGCTGATGGCTCTTGAAAGAAAGTGAGTTTTGCACTGGAGGAACCTGTGCCGTGTATTATGTTGAGCAGCGGGATGGGGCACCCACGTGGTTCGCCCCACCTCTCCAGGGCCGAATGGAGAAGCTACATTGTGTTAGCTCAGACGGGTGAAGGGAGACGCATGGCCATGCCTGGCATGGCTTTCCAGGACAGTGGGAAATATTTTAATCTCTTTTGCCCATGAGATAGGAATTGACAAGACCCTTAACACAAACTTCAAAAGAGCTCTAAGGATGTTCTTAAAGTCCTTTTTGGAGAGCAATGCAACGTTCGCGATGTCCAAAGAAATAAAATTCATCAGTAGAGATTTGAACTAAAATTACTTGTGCTCATCAGCAATTTGTGATGATGCAGAGTGCTTGGTTATGAAAATAGAACAGAAACACACATCCAGTTTGTCCTTAGCATTTCTGGTTAGTCATACTCTGAAAAAGCCAGGCAGCAGCCCGGGTTGTCGTCCAGGTCCCCTGAGGGTAAGCGACAGCGATGTCTCAGAAAGAGTCACTAACTCCACAGCCTCCCCCATTCAATTCCTTAAGCCCACATCTTTTTTTTCCTTGACCAATAGATGCCCCTAGTTAAGATCCAAATAACTCTTGCAATGTAGAGGTATTTGGAGTAGGGAGATGGAGATTCTGAAAAGAGGAACCTCTTTTTTTTTTTTTGGAGACCTGTTTGCTTTTCAGACCACGAAAAAACATTTTAGGAAAGTTTTGTTTGGACGCCCAACAATAAAACTTACACTGTGAAACGTACCTCATGACTGTAATGGCGTCCACATACATATTTTTACCCACTCAGTCTTAAGAGGAAATGACCTTCTGGTGACCTCGACAGTACAATATGGGAACCTACTCTGGAGGAGTCACCTGGCAGCATGACCCAGCGAAGGTTATTTCCCTTGAGTTGATTCAGGCATCACAACTGGCCCCTTTGTGATGGCGTTATTTTCACCCTGCACAAAATGGGTTGACAGAAGTCCCACCTTTTTGTAAGAACAGCACTAAAATGACAACTTAAAGCCTATGAAAAAGTGAGAATTTTTGACTTTTCCTTGCGAAGCTAGACTGTCTTAGGAAACAGAAAAATAACTTTCAAGAGGAGGCTAGAAAAATTGGGGGACTGAGCAAATTAAAACTAATTTCTAGGATTTATTGGTTGGTATGTTGGAAATCATGTACAAAGCTACATAAAAGAAAATTTTTATATTGCAAAGACATTATACCATATTCCATAAAATAAGGAATATAGATGAAGAAAATATCATAGTCCCACAACTCAAGCAAGACAGACAGACAGTTTTCATTTTGAAGTCATTGCCGATACTCTTGCACTTAGTGGATATGCTGTATATCTGCTGAGCAATTTTGTAGCCTGTGCTCTTCACGCACATTATAAACATTTTTACGTGCTGTCTAGTTGTCTCCATTCTTGTAATCCTAAAGAATGCGAATGTTCTGCTTAGAGACAAACTAGCTTCCTACCTCCCGTGCTTAGATGGACAGCAGGCACTCTGTGCACATTTGTTAAATGAAAGGAAGCTCAACGCATTTTTAAAAATCATTTTTGCCTGGGATGGAAGGAAACAGAGTTGTAGGGATTTTATAGTTTGTCAACGGTTTCTCATATCCTTCCCTTACATACCACGCTCAGCATGACTGATGTGAACTTCGGGAGGCTGAAAATAAGGACAAACTTTACTGACATCCAGGCTGCCCAACCAGCCTCTTCCTTTCCCGGCACAAAAGGAGGGGCCCGGCAGGTAGACTGGTTCACAGTGTGGTGCGTGCTGGAACTTTGTACACAAACTAGGATTTTTTTTATTTTAGTGTATTACGGGAGTACAAATATTTTGGCTACATGAATTGCTTTTGTGCCATTTGAGTCAAAGTTGCAAGTGTGCCCATCACCAAGATAGCGTACATTGTACCCGTCGGTGTGAATTTACCTGTCCCCTTCCCCCCTCCCACCTGCTTAGTTTCCACTGAGTTTTACTACCATATGTGCGTATGAACTAGGACTTTAAAACTTGAGTCACTCTCTTGCAGAGTTAACACTTGACACTTTAACAAAACAGGTGGCTCTCTGGTGTCTCGACAGCTGATTGGCTGGGCTGGGTGGGCCTGGGCTCCGTCCAGTCTGGGCGCCTGGGCGCCACGTCGTCTGTTCACAGAATGTGGGGAAGAAGTGGATGGCCACGGAGGATGGCTTCAAAAGAAAGCAGGACCTCACAGGCCTCTCGAGACACTCAGTGTCCCTTGGTTCCTAACTAGAGGGTCTAACTTAGAATGGCTTTACCTTTCTGGCTTCTTCCTGAGTGCTCAGAAACCTCCCTTGAGAGCAGGTGCTTTGTTTACTTTCTTTCATCCTTTCCAGCCTGTAAATAGAACATCTCTTCCGCTCCCCTCCCAGCAGCAAGACCACAGGTCGTGTTGGGAAATACCGGGCGTGGGGAAGCCCAGGCTGGCTCTTGCTTTAGCGTGGACCAGTTGCATCCCTTGGACAGCTATCTTAACTTCTTCGGATATGTGGCATCTCTTTTTTAAAGAGAAAAGGAAATAGGACTTCAAACACCCCACCTGTCTGCGGGGAGGTGGGGTTGAACCCGAGCTCTGCGAATCACTGGATCAAAATCCTGCCCAGAGACTCAGAGATAGACCACCCCGGCGGTGGCTTGGAGTGGCAGGTGAGGCGGGGGTCGCCTGCGGTGGTGGTTGTCAGCCTGTAACATGGGTGCGTTCTTTCCTGCATGTCTTCCAGGAGCCATCAATTTCCTGCGCTCTCTCCTGGAACCAGACCCTGTGAAGAGGCCAAATATTCAGCAAGCACTGGCGAATCGCTGGCTTAATGAGAATTACACAGGCAAAGTGCCCTGTAACGTCACTTATCCCAACAGGTAATTTCGTGCACACAGAGGGACTCCTCCGCGGGCGAGATGGGGCCTGTCCCACGAGCCCTGAATAGTTGTGGATAGGAGATTCAAGGAAAAGCTGTGTCCTCTCTTGGCTGTGCTCCCTGCCCCTGCATCCCTCTTACGTGCAGACAAGCCCATCTCAGCGTGCAGAGGAGGCGCAGTTAGGGCCATCCCGTGCGGCTGTGCAGTGCGCCCTGCGGGGGCGCGGGCTCCGAGGGGTGGCGTCTTCCCTGAGAGGCACCTCTTTCTAGTTCACGTGAAGCGACCGTTTAGACTAGCTGTGGCCCAAGCGTATGTGTCTTTGTGTGTGTATCTGTGTTTACGTGTATGAGTGTGTGCATGTGTGGATATGTTTGTGTGTGTGTCTGTGTGTCAGTGTGTGTGATCCACCCGTGACCTCACCTGCCAACATCAGGCAGACCCCGTGGCATTTCCCCCTCCTCTTTCAACCCACCCTTAGTTTCCTCTTCTCCTTTGTTCTTGATGTTTATTTCAGCCCTAAGCGCCCCCGCCCCTGCCTTAAAGTGTTGGGGAGGGAAGAAGAGGCACCAGGAGTCATTACTGTCAGGCTGGGTCCCCGCGGGCTTGCTGTGAAGGGTCACCGTGTCGGTTTCCACGAGCAGGTCTCGTGAAGGAAGTCCCACAGACAGGAGCCCCAGCGTAGGAACTCTGACGGGCACCTTACGTGGCCCGGGCTTCTGCGTGTTGGGATACTGACTACAGATTTGAAAGCAAGTACGAGAAAACCTGTTCTTACGTTTCTCCTTCTCATTTGATACATTGCTAACTAACCTGAACGGGAAGTGAGGGCTCTCACTTTGGATACGTCACAGAAAACACGGAGACCACATGGATCCAATACCTTCCTCTGCCTTCAGGGCCAGGGTGGCCCACACATCTGGCCAAGCTTGGATGAGGATGAGAGAACCCTGACCCCAGGGGGACAGACACGGGGCTGAAAGGACAGGGAAGGGGATGTCCTCCATGGTCATATTTTCAGTGCCCAGGAAGGTCCGGAAACACCCACCAAGCCTTATGAAAGCTGGAGTGCCGAGTTCTCCAGACAAGATGGGCAGGGAGTGGTCTTCCTTGGGCTGGAAGTTCCCGAGGAACTTAAGGGGGCGTGGGAGTCCCTTCCACACTACTGGGCCAGATTTACACTCACCGTGTCCATAGGGCAGGTGGTTTCACTCAGATGCCATCTAGAATTCTAGCGTTTGGCTCATGGGAAGTAATTTAAGCAAAGTCTAGGTTACTTAGGTTACCAAAGGAACCTGGAAATAGATTGCTGTTTTCCAATACCAGCTCGATTTGGGCCAGTTTCTGAAACAGACGCTAGAAATATTACCCCAAAGTGAGGCAGACCTCATTACAGATGCTCGCATGGATAGCAGCACCAAGGTATCCTTTCTGTTAAAGGAGGGGGCATTAGTGGCAGCCTAATGAGTCATTAGGCTAATGTAATCACTGTCTAAGTGAGCAGGATCCATCCGCTCAGCGTGGCAGCTGTTGAAGGAAGTAGAGCTGGTATTAGCCAGGTGCTTCCCATCCTTGTTGGCTGTATCTTCATTCACACAGAATTAGGATATGGCGTCTCATTTTGTAGCTTTTCCACAGGTTGTAGACAGGCTTTGATAGATTAAAACTGAAATTCAAGTCCCCATACTGGTGTTGCCAGATGAGAAGTTTTTGCATTTGGACTTGGCCAGAAGTATAAGGGCTGCACATGCAACTAGTTAGGTGGATTGTAAAAAAATGGTTTAGATCTTGTAAATTAAAGAAAACAACAGGTCGTTGTCTTCTGTTCATGTAAGCCCATTACTCATTTTATACTAGAGGCAAATTGTGTTCAGTTTTTAAATAATGAAACCAAAATTCCAAACTGTTGGGGGAGGGACATGTTATTTACAGTTTTATTTTGAAAAATGTTTATCTTTAAGGCAAAAAATGTATTTTTTATAATTATTTTTCTAGTTTTACCAGCATATAGATAAAGGGAGTAAGAACATGGGACTAGAGAAAAGAATATCTGTTTTAAAAAGTATGTTTTATAGCCCCAGATTTAATTATTTTAAATGTTGTCAGTGTTTTCCTTTTGGGAAAGTAAAGAAAATAAAGGTTTTGTGTTTTACATTATTCTTATACAAGGTCTTCTCCTGTCCAAGTTGATCTCCAGTAGGCAAGAGGGAAATGTCTTTAAAGTAAATTTTTATAATAAGCGTTCATGCCAGTCAGTCAGCAGATGTTTGCTGGGTGCCTGTCTCCCCTCTCTGATCCAGGTGCAGACATTTTTTTCAGCGCCAACCTTGCTGTCTCTTCCTGACCCCCAGCAGGGGCCTGGACAGTCTCTCTGTCCTTCTCTGCTCTGGAGATGGTGGGAGGGAAGGAGGTCATGGGTAATACTGGACAGAACTAGACCCAATTGGATCTGTGGTTTAAAAACAGATTTCATGCGAATTTGCTTAGTTCAAATTATATCTAGTGTTCTGGAGCATTTTACCATTCTCTGTATCACCCAAACATGCAACGATAATACAAATTCAATAGCTGATGTTGGAGAGCACCAAATATATACATTGTTTATTGGAAAACGTTTAAAATATTAGTCAAGAGTCAGTGAGTCTACATTTTGGCAGAACTCCTGGTTTTTTTTTGTTGTTGTTGTTTATGGATTTTTTTGGTTTTGTTGTTGATGTTTTATTTTGAGACGGAGTCTCTCTCTCTCTCGCTGAGGCTGGAGTGCAGTGGCATCATCATAGCTCACTGTAACCTCCAATTCCTGGGTTCAAGCCATCCTCCTGCCTCAGCCTCCCAAGTAGCTGGGAGTCTCTTACTCAAGCTAATGTCGAACTCCTGGCCTCAAGCAATCCTCCCACCTCGGCCTCCCAAAGTGAGCCACTGAGCCTGGCCAGAGCTCCTGTTTTTGAAGACAACAGATAGAAAGGGCAGAGGTGGCGTGTCTGTTCCTGTGCACCTCCCTCCTCTCACCTCTGCCCCGGGGACACTGCACGCCTTCCTGGGAACCTGCAGGGCAGGGGTGTAGCCTTGCCGGAGCCGGGCCACAGGCATGGTCTGATTGGCCAGGGGCAGGGTCACACGCACACTGGAGTTCCCAGGTGTTTTCAAACAACTGCACCCTCTGTGTTAAGTGTTCTGGCAAACCTCAAGTAGTGTATTTTTTTAAACAAACATGTTATCAATATTTTTTTACCACTAGTCATTCCAATCTCCCTCCCTCCCATTATCTAGAATTTGTAATCTTGTTGCACACAGGAGTGAGGAAGGCTGGTTTCATTGTTTTTCCGGCATGGTTTTTTTTTTTTTGGATAGCACTTAGTCAATTCAAGGGAGGGAGAGCTGATGTAGGTTACACCGACCACTGGAGGACGGTGGTCAGGAGACCTGGTCTGCTCCTGGCGCCCTATCAACTGACGGTGCAAACGAGGCAATTCGATCTCCTCTTCTTCACAATGATGGGGTTACACTCTGGGGTTTCTCTGGCGTTATGGTTCTGAGGTTCTATCAAAAATATTTTCAGACTCTTTGGCAGAAGCTACAAGCTCTGCAGTCAGATGAGGTTGCTTTCTGCTCAGAGTGCCCTATTTGCACCTCTCTTAAGGGATTTAGAATGTTCTTTTGGCCCATCCCCTCTGCCAACACACACACTCCTGATAACTCCCGACTTGACTTCTTGTTCTCTGCAGCCGTTGCCTGTGTCTGTTTATTTGAGAGGCAGCGAATGTGCAGGTTTAGCATCTGGACTCTGGCCAGGCTGCCTGGGGGTTCACTCTGGGGCTGCAGCTTCCTGCCTGCGGGACCCTGGGCAAGTTACTTTATTGCTGTGAGCTTCCGTTTCTTCCGTCTGTAAAGTGGGGATAATGACAGTTCCCACTCATAGGCCTGTTGGGAGGATGAAGTGTGTTTATATTCTCTCTTCCCCACTGGAATGGAAGCTCCAAGGATTTGGCGGGTGAATGAATGAATGAGTGAATAAATGAGTGCCTGGTATTTCTTTGGCATTTTATCCCGAAGAGTTTAGCTTCACAATGCTCCTATAAAGTAGCTTTAGCCTGTCTTCCTCTGGGAGCACCCCCATATTACAGCTGAGCCCAGGCTGCCCATGTGTGAACTTGGGACCTCTCTCTCTTCCTCTAAACACGGTCTGGCTGCTTCCCGAAGACCTTCGTTTCTCAACCCAAAACCCAGATTAAGTGTGGCCTCTATCCATGGCAACAAATACATTGTAAGGAAAGAATGTACAACTGGAAAGAAATTTAGGGGACAAGTGGGGAATTTGAATATAATCTGGCTATTAGATGACATGAAGGGATTATTGAAATTTTACTGGGTGTGTTGATGGTATTGTGGTTCTGCCGGAGAGGTCTCCGGTTTTGAAGGTGCACACGGAAGTATCAAGGAGTGAAATATCATGATGTCTGTAATTTAAAATACCTTAGCAAAAAAAATAGATGAAGCAAGTATGGCAAAGTGTTATTTGGTACATCCAGGTGGTGGTATGCATAGGTAATATGCTATTCCCGCCACTCTTCTGACTGCATGAGATTTTTCCTAATAAAGTGAATGAATGAATGAGTGAGTTAATGCACCTGATTGTGCACAGGGGGCCCGCGTGGGCCGACTCCGTGCTGCCATGGTCGCCTCTCCGGGAAGGTGGAGGGGTGACCGGGTCTCTCTCCGCCCGGCAGGATTTCCCTGGAAGACCTGAGCCCCAGCGTGGTGCTGCACATGACCGAGAAGCTGGGCTACAAGAACAGCGACGTGATCAACACTGTGCTCTCCAACCGCGCCTGCCACATCCTCGCCATCTACTTCCTCCTCAACAAGAAACTCGAGCGCTATTTGTCAGGGGTAAGTGGGACCCGACGGGCGGCTTTCTCTGCTCTCTGTGGAAAGAAGAGCTCTTCAACCCAAAGTGTTTCCCAGTTGCTGACACTCGATCCAAGCTGCTGCTTTTACCTACTGTGAGGCTGAGTTTCCTGAATGTGGAATAAAGTAGAAGCCAAACCTGCTTCTCAGGTAGCACTTTTTGTCTGGGATGTTTCTCAGATATTCTCCCGCAGAGTTAAGCCCCGGGCAGAAATGCGAGGAGGTTCAAGCCTCTTTTTCCTTCAGCTTCTCTGTTGCCTTTTTCGTTCTGCTACCCCTTTGCTCCTTGAGTTCCCACATTAGAGATTTTGGGGGCTCCTTTGGCCATAAAAGTTAGGGAGCAGTGTCTCTGGCATTCGTCTCTGAAGTATGGTGTAGGAGGAAGCCGCTGTTTACTTTTACTTCTCCAGAAAATAGAAATGAAGTTGAGCTTCACTAACTTGACCCTGACGCCTTCACTCAGTCTGGGTGTCAGAAAGTCCAAGTGTCCCGTGTCACATATGAGTAACGATTGGGGGTCCCACAGCATGGGGTGGACAGTGGTACCCTGACTCCCTGGTCCCCTGCGTCATTTTTGGGTAAGGGAATGTACATGCTTTGGTATCTAGTTATGAATAAATCATCTCTCTCAGAATGGGCAATGGCTTAAAAAGAATTCTGCAAAGAAAACTGGATCCTGGCTGGGCGCGGTGGCTCACGCCTGTAATCCTAGCTCTCTGGGAGGCCGAGGCAGGCGGATTGTTTGAGCTCAGGAGTTCGAGACCAGCCTGAGCAAGAGCAAGACCCCATCTCTACTAAAATTAGAAAGAAATTAATTGGACAACTAAAAATATATAGAAAAAGTTAGCCGGGCATGGTGGCACATGCCTGTAGTCCCAGCTACTCGGGAGGCTGAGGCAGGAGGATCGCTTGAGCCCAGGAGTTTGAGGTTGCTGTGAGCTAGGATGATGCCACGGCACTCTAGCCCGGGCAACACAGTGAGACTCTGTCTCAAAAAAAAAAAAGAAAAAAGAAAACTGGATCCAAGACAATACGGATGCTACATACAGCTCCTGCTTCTACTCGAGGTGGTGGGTGCTGACGAGATCTAACAGGAAGTCAGCCAAAGAAGTTCAGAATTGTGAGGAAGCCCATCTGAAATTGATTGAGTATCCACTTTCATGAAGGACGACCTCACCCTGTGCATATTACATCCTGAGGTGTGCTGGTGTGGAGTTGTCACCTTTAGGAAGACATTTAGAATCCGGAACGTGAGGACAAACTTCTAGAGTTTTTTTCAGTGCTATTTAAAGTCATGTGCTAGCCCAGTGTGTCACAAAAGTCCACTGAACAATAGGCTTAAAAACCTTTTTTGAGTTTTCTGTATTAAAGCAAAAGATGAAAGTCCACCTGCATTTGGGACAATGATCTTCTCGCTGTCATGGCAAAAAGAAGCAAAGTAATGCTCAGAAGACAAGATGGTCAGAGTGCGTCTCTTGTTCGCACACAGATTTGGGAGACATGTAGAGAACACTGCTGAACCTATGAAGAACTCGATGGGAGGTTTGTTAAACAGCTGAATGAAAGTCCAGATGTTTCCACGCTGATTCAGCTTAGGATATGTGCTAGATTTTGCTTCCACAGGAAATTATCTATAGAACTCCTGTTTTTTTTTTCTTTTTGGATGAACCACCAAAGGGAAGATGTACACAAAAAGAAAGATTCTCAACAGTGAAAGGCTTTTAAAAATATGAGTAGTGTTTATGGGGAAAAAGAAAGTGCTCTGTGTAAGCGGGGGTGCGGTGGCACTTCTGATGGGGACACAGTCGTAGTTTGAGGCTTGAGTTCAGAGATGGTGCCACTGTGGCTGCGTCGCTCGTGGGAAAGCTCCTGTGGGAGAGATGTCAAATCTAGGAAGACAGGACTTTCAACACACAGTGTATTATTTGTATTATTTTATTATATGATAAGGAGAGACTAAGAAAATCTCCTGTATCACACAGCAGTTCTCTGTTCTCTCATCATAAGGAACTTAGAAGACATATGCACTTGAAGCACTTTCTCTTTTCTTTTTTATAAGAAGACAGTATGTCCTGAATTTCTTTCTTATCCTTTTTAATTGCTATTTTATTATATATTTCATTATTTACGTGACATATTAGTACAAAGGTACATGCTTATGACTTCTAAGTAAATATGCATGTGTTGTAGGTGCCTGCATACAACTTTTTCACCTCTAAGGGCTCAAGGTCATACCATTTGGGGACCATACTATGCTATAGAGAGTAAAAGTTAAAAATTTAAATGGTTCTCCAGTAAAAAAGTAAGAGAAGAAGGTTAACACACTGATTTTCTTTTTCAAATGATGAATGCTGTTAAAAATTCGCTACTAAAATATATTTTCATGAAACTACATTATAAAGTTCATGATTTCATGTATTAAAGAATGACACTGCTACTTTCCTAAGTAAGTTAGCGGGTTCAAACATTCTTCTTTTGGCAGAACTAGTTCTTTGGGTGCTGCTGAGTAGGATGGAGGGGTCTTAGTTTTTTTAAAAAGTTTCCTATGGCTGCTTCCCCATGTGCAGAGACAAACTTAGGTCATTCACTCTCTTCTTAAATAATCACATAGCTCATCTCAAGCCAGAGAGACATTTCGTCAGAGCTCCTGGGCTGTGTTTTTGTTCTGTCCAGGGGTCTTGCCATCTGCTGCCTTTCTGCTTCTCCACTTCACCCAGCAGCAGGGTTGTCGGTGTTGCAAAGCTTAGGGTGGCTTTGTCTACCAAAACATTCCCCCGAAACTCAGCTGATATTGTTCTAACTGGAAAAAGGTTATTTTAAAAAAATTAATTTTTTAATTAACAAAAAAATTGTATTAACATATGTTATCATGTACAACACGATGTTTTGAAATATATGTACATTGTGAAATGCCTAAAAAACATATATAGGCCGGGCGCGATGGCTCATGCCTGTAATCCTAGCTCTCTGGGAGGCCGAGGCAGGCGGATTGTTTGAGCTCAGGAGTTCGAAACCAGCCTGAGCAAGAGTGAGACCCTGTCTCTACTAAAATAGAGAGAAATTAATTGGACAACTAAAAATATATAGAAAAAATTAGCCGGGCATGGTGGCGCATGCCTGTAGTCCCAGCTACTCAGGATGCTAAGGCAGGAGGATCACTTGAGCCCAGGAGTTTGAGGTTGCTGTGAACTAGGATGACGCCATGGCACTCTAGCCCGGGCAACACAGTGAGACTCTGTCTCAAAAAACAAACAAACAAACAAACAAACAAACAAACAAAAACATATATAAAAACCACACATACTTACTATCATTTTTTTGTGGTGAGGACACTTAAAATCTACTCTCAGTGATTTTTCAGAAATATAATACATTGTTATTAACTATAGTCACCATGTTGTACAATAGATCACCTGAACTTATTCCTGTCATCTAACTGATGTAAGGTGATGTCTCATTGTGGTTTTAATTTACATTTCCCTGATGATTAATGATGTTGAGTACCTTTTTATATACCTGTTGGCCATTTGTATATCTTGTGAGAAATGTCTTAATTGGGTTATTTGGATTTTTGCTATTGAGTTGTTTGGATTCCTTAAATATCCTGGATATTAACCCTTTATCAGATATATTTTTTGCTGTTATTTTCTGCTGTTCCGTAGGTTGTTTCTTCACTCTGTTGATTATTTTCTTTGGTATGAAGAAGCTTTTTAGTTTAATGGAATTCATTTGTCTATTTTTGTTTTTGCTGCCTGTGCTTTGGGGATCATATCAATAAATCATTGTTCAAACCACCGGCATGGAGCTGTCCCCCATGTTTTCTTCTAGTAGTTTTACAGTTTCAGGATTTACATTTAAGTCTTTAATCCATTTTGAGTTGGTTTTCTTATGTAGTACTAGATTTGAGTCTAAGTTCATTTTTCAGCATGTGGATATCCAGTTTTCCCAACACTATTTATAGACTGTCCTTTCCTCATTGTGTGCTCTGGGAGCCTTTGTCAAAAATCTATTGACCACAAATGCATGGATTTACTTCCGGGCTCTCTATTCTGTACTATTAGTCTATGTGTATGTTTTTATACCAGTACCATGCTGTTTCAGTGATTACAGCTTTGTAGTATATTTTGAAGTCAGGGAGTGTGATGCCTCCAGCATTGTTGTTTTGGCTCAAGATTTCTTTGGCTGTTTGGGGTCTTTTGTGGTTCCATATGAATTTTAGGATTGTTTTTTCTCTTTCTTTGGAAAATGTCATTGGCGTTTTTATAGGGATTGCATTGAATCTGTAGATTACTTTGATTAGTATGGACATTATTAATTCTTCCATTCCACGAACATGGGATCTTTCCATTTATTTGTCTTCTTTTTCTTTCGTCAATGTTTTATAGTTTACAGTGTACGGGTCTTTCACTTCCTTGGTTAAATTTATTTCTAGGCATTTTTTTTTGTAGCTATTGTAAATGGGATTGTTGTCTTGATTTCACTTTTGAATAGTTTGCCATTAGTGTATGGAAACACTACTGGTTTTTGCATGTTGATTTTGTATCCTCTAACTTTACTGAATTTGTTTATTAGTTCTAACAGTTTTTTTTTTTTTGGTGGTATCTTTTGAGTTTTCTATGTATATGATTAGTGTCTTACGTATGATAAAAACAGCCACTTGCCTAGAGTATGGATTTTCAGACCAGGTATGTCTTATGATTTAAGGGTTAAATGTGAAACAGACACAATAAAACTCACAACTGGCCTGAGAATCCATACTCTAGGCAATTGGCTGTCTTTAACTAGAGTGAATTAATCCCTGTAGACAATTGTAGCTAGTCTGCTCAGTAATTTCCACACGTAGCTAATTTAATTGTACTATATTCACTGTCCCAGTTATTAATCTTATCAACCAATTACTAACACCCTGTGTATAATTTTGAAGCCCAATCTAGTGAACTAAAAAGTAAAACCTTATACCTTAATTGTCATTTCTTTCCTTGTCTCTTGGTTTTCTTTTTAAAACCAAAAAGCATGTACTTTAAGTTGGAAAGCCTGTAAGGGCATTCATTAACTAATTGTTGATTGATAAATTAATCAGTTATTTAATTTCTCCTGTTTCTGGACAGGATTGCACCTACATCATCTCAAATGCAGCTGTCTATCATCTTCTTTGAGCTATATTGTGAATTGCTGTGGCTTTCATTTTGGTAGGATATGTGTGTGTGCTGTTTTAAAATAAAGCAAACAAGCAAGATCTATATCCTGTTTAGCGGTGTGGTAAAACAAATTATTCTACCCAGCTCCCCTATTTGGTTTCTTCTTTCAAGAAGAAGTCTTTATTGCACAAGTGAAAGTACTGAAGCCCAGCAAGGTGCAGCATTCTCTCAGCCAAGGACTGGTTTAAACATTAATGACTGCTTAAAGGACATTTCTATTTCTGAGAGTTAAGCCATACTTTTTCTTTTCTCCTCTGGCAGAAATCTGACATCCAGGACAGCGTCTGCTACAAGACCCAGCTCTACCAGATAGAAAAATGCAGGGCTACCAAGGAGCCCTATGAGGTGGGTGACTCCCCGAGGCAAAACCTGGGGTCTCTTAGGAGATGTGGATTTCCATTTGCAGGGAGAGTAATTACCACCAGTACTACCTCCCAGTCACTGTAAAACACTGAAGTGACAAAAGACAAATACTCTCGTAACTGAGCCCTTGAGAAATGGTTTACAGCGGAGCCACCATCGCTGTCTCTAAATGCTGGTTCTCATCAGTGGCTACACGTGAGTCACTGGGAACATGGAAACATCTGGATGCCCAGACTCCCCTCCGACCAGTTATGTCGAATCTCAGGAGGTGAGACTTAAGTATCAGTATTTTATAAAGCTCCCTGAGTGATTCCAGTGAGCAGTGCAGGTTGGAAACCACTGTCAGATCTCCAAAGGGTAAAAATGAGATGCTCAATGTTCTCCCTCACATGTGGAAGCTAAAAAAAAGAAGAAATCGAGCTCATAGAAGTAGAGAATAGAATTATGGTTACTAGAGGCTGGGAAGAGTCGGGGCCGGGGTGGGGGGAGAGAGAAGTTGGCTAATGGATCCGAACTTACAGCCAGAGAGGAGGAATAAGTTCTAGTGTTCCGTGACACAGTAGGGTGACTATAGTTAATAAGAATTTATTGTATATGTTCAAAAAGCTAGAAGAAAGGATTTTGAATGTTCCCAACACAAAGACACAGTAAACGTGTGAGGTGACAGATATGCTAATTACCCTGATTTGATCACTGCACACTGTGTACATGTATCACAACTTCACTCTGTGCCCTATAAACACGTGTGATTATTACGTGTCAGCTAAAAATAAAAGGAAAAAAATGCAAATGCTAAAAAAAATGAGATTATAAAAAATATAGCGGAGTCTAATGCTTGGTGTCAGGAGAAGAAAGTAAGAGGGGGTGGGGAGTTTCGGATAAGGCGAGCTTTCCTAGGCAGCCATCGCTGGTGACCTGATGTCACCTGGAAAAATACTATGGTTCTTTGAGTCACAATAAAAACTAGTATCCTATCGCAGAGCGTCACAAATTTGGATCCCAATACTTGTTTGTAAGGAGATTGTGCATTCCAGATCCAAGGCCAGGCTCGTGGGGGTGAGGTGTTGTCTCAGGGCCCCTCACGCACCTTTTGTCAGGTGGGCTCCTCCCCTCGGAAGCCCCTCCCATGTCCCCCAAGTGTCCCTGCTGTGGGAACCCCTCCTGGGACACCCAAGAATCCCTTTGTTTGAGAAGAAATCAAAAAGGGAACCCCCCTCCATGCCCTGGGGGAGGCCACAGGCCTGGCCTCATCCCTCTTTCCTTCTCCAACGTAAAGTTTTCAACCTGATCCCACCTGCCACAAGTGTCACTCTGAGTGCAGGGTGCAGTGAAGCACTGGTGATTACCAAGCCCAGCACTGGGCTCCAGGGACATCAAGGACCAAGAGTGCCCAGCCGCTGGGTGCCACATGTGAATGTGACGGGAACACAGGAAAGGGACCGGCCCTGAGTGCCGAGGCGGGGAGAATGTCCATTCCAGACAGAGCCCGGGCGCAGAGGGAGAGGAGAAAGTGGCAGAGGCCATGGTGAAGGGTGCCCAGGGAGGGGGCAGGGGAGACCGTGGGAATGGGAAAGATCATGTACGAAATGGCCTGCAGTGTCGGCTGAGCAGTTAGTTGTCCTGAGTTTGTTGGGGAGGACGGCTTCATGGCGGTGGAAAAGGCAGAGGGGAGGTTGCACGGATTGGGGGTGGTGGAAGGCGGGAAGGGAAGACAGTGAACATCCTCCTCTCTGTCAACCGTGCTGTGATGGAAGGAGAGGCTGCGTTGCCTGGGCTGGATGCCTCCTTCCTCCGAGACAGGCTGTGGGGCCGGGGTGGTAAGGATGGAAATGAGCCCTTTGCAGGCTGGGCCGGGGCCGGCAGGCGTGAGCCACAAGCCCGGGCAAGGCTTTCAGGCTGAAAGCAGGAGAGCGGGTGGTGTCAGGACCCAGATGCCCCCTGAGCTCCAGACCCCTCTGGCCAGTTGCCTACTAAATGCTCACCTCCTGTCGCAGGAATGAAGGCGTCTCACTCTAGCGTGCTCGGAACCACACTCTCCCTCCCCACCCCGTAGCAGCCCAGGTCATGCTTGCTTCTCTGCCTCGGATCCCAGCCCCAATCCCCTCTCCCCGCAAGCCCCACTTCTTGCCCCTTGCTTTATGCACAATCCCCTCCCCACCACCACCTTCAGACTTGCTGTGCACATGCTGTTTGTTCTTCCAGAATGCTTTCCCCACCCCTCTTTGCTGAGTTTATCTTGCATCTTCAGATCCCAAAGCAAGGTCAGCTCCTCATGGACCCCTGCCGTTCCCTGACCTCTGCCACCGGGTCCTATCCCTCCAGCAAGGGCTTTTGCACCACAGTTTTCATCCTGTGGCCTGTCCCGTGTGCAGCTTTCATTTGTTTGGGGGTTATTTGATTAACAGCACTCTCCCTCTGGGCTGTGAGAGCCATAAGAGCTGGGACTAAGTCCCTCTGGATCCTCTCAGTATCCTAGAGTCTACACAATGCCTGGCATATAGTAGGTGCTCAGTAAATATTTGCTTAATGAACAAATGCAAGAATCAAGTGAGCCTTGACCTGAGTCTCAGAAAGTGGAGAGGACTGGGACAGGCTTGTGTAGAAGGCAGAACAGTCCAGGTGGGACCCGTAGCTCGATGAAAGTCAGGGGGACACCTGTGACATAGCACACAAGTGGCATCATCACCACCAGATGGCTGTGCCTTAAGGGAGGAGGGGACTCTGTGGTCACCTGCACTCGCTGAGGTCTCCCCAGCTGCAGTCCAGGGAGTGAAGATTTCAGGGTTAGTCTCCTTTGTCTCTTGCTTTGCATTCGACTCTTTAGGGCCTCAAAGAATGATGCAGACTTAGATGCACCGATAGCCCCATGGGGTGTCTAAGTGACCCATAAGCCACCTTGCTGACCCTCTTGTCCACACTGACCTTGCACTTGCCCCACTACGATTGTGTTTGAAGGTACCAGAACTGTGATGGGAAGAGAAGGCCCTTCTTTCGTCCAGATTCTTTTTCTCTGTTATTTCATTTGGCCTGAAAACACATGGTGAGCGTTTTAAACATTTGCTGAAATATTTAATGGTTAGGATTTAAATAGGAACACTAATGGGCAAACAGTATTTCAATTTTCTATGATCCATTTGTTTTCTCCAAACTGTGCTGCTACTTCTGCTAATTAAATCATGGCTATTAACCAGAGTATCCAACTTTTCTCTGTCGGAACCTGGCAAGTGGAATGGGGCTAGTTAACAGAAGCGTTAAGAAGGTCTGGAAGGGCCCAGACTTCACAGGTCAAGGCCGCTCAGAGCCACTGGGTTTCCTTCCGGTTGCCCTTGGTGGGCCCAGGAGGAGAGGTTGGGGCGGGTGGGGAGAGGGAGTGGTGGGCAGAAGTTTCAGGTCGTGCAAAAATCATGGTGTGGCTCAGGGTCTGAGCCCCCCGGGGACGCCATAAAGTTGTGTCCCGGGCGCTGAGTGCAAGCAGCGGCCTCTTTGTTTCTCTTGATTCTGGTTCTTTTTGTCCTAGGAGACAAAGGAGCTGAATTAAGTTGAAAAAACTTCCCTGTTGGGATTACAGTGCTGTGATTTTATGGACTCTACCATTTTCTCTACTTCTCTTTCCTGTAACAGGCAGAGAATATATCTGTAAAAGTGGGATGCATTTCTCCTCTGAGAACACCGACACATGTGTGGCCCGAGGGACTCCGCTTCCTAAAAAAGAGACCCTGTGGGGCCATGGGGGTTGAGGGGGGTGGGCATCATTTGTAAACTGACTCATTTATGAAAGCCATATGGAACCCAAAGCCAGTTGTGTTGAAAGCCTTTTGAAAGATAATATTAATTTGTAAAAAAAATATGTAAACTATAACTAGGAGATCTTCTCTGCAGTGACAAAGTAATACTGGGATTTTGGAAGGAAAGCCATGCGGAGAGAGGCAGTGGGACAGGATTTGTCTGCCAGGGCTGCCGTAACAGGTACCACAAACTGGGCAGAAGTTCATCTCCCCGTGGTCTGGAGGCTGGGAGTCCAAGATCAAGGTGTTGGCAGGGCTGATTCCCCCCCAGGGCCGTGCGGAGAGACTGTTCCAGGCCTCTCCCCTGGCTGCGGGGGGTTGTGGAGTCTTTGATGTTCCTTGGCTGGTAGACACACCACCATAATCACTGCCTTCATCTTCACGTGGCATTCCCCTTTGTGCCTGTCGGTGTCCAAATCTCCATTTTATAAAGACACCAGCCACATTGCATTAGGACCCACCCTAATAACTTCGTTTTAACTTGATTACCTCTGTAAAGACCCTCTCTCTAAATAAGGTCCTATTCTGAGCTCCTAGGAGTTAGGCCTTCAACCTATGAATTTTGGGAGAATACAATTCAACCCACAATAGAAACTGTAAGTTTATAGGCAAATATTAAAATGTTCACTTTGTGTCTTATTTCAAAATCTATACAACGTGCTAAAATAAAGTTCAGAATTGGGTCAAACAGTCTGCGCTGTTAGAAATGAGTATGTTACGTTTGGGGGACAGAGTGACTAGAAGAGGACACAGGTACGCAGGGAGAGGGAACCTTCGCGTGCTGGCTGGGCTCTGTGTCTTGGTCGGGGTGCCGTTTCCGTGGGTGCTGTTGCTGTTTTGAGAAAACACATCAAGCTGCTTACTTATCACTAGAGCATTCCCGGTTCTGTGTCTTAGATTTTAATAAAAAAGTTTACCTGGAAAATCTATTCAACGCGTGAATTAGGACATCTGCCGCCAACTTCCACTGCGATTTCAGAGTTCGTTGTTGTTGTTTTGTCTATAAACATAGAAATGAACGGTTCTCAGCCAGAACTGCAGGGGAATCGGTAGGGGGAGAGTTTGGGGAATACAGAGCAGGTGCAGTTTTGAATTGTTAAAAATGCTGCTTTTCACAGGCCTCCCTGGACACCTGGACGAGAGACCTTGAATTCCATGCTGTGCAGGTAAGAATCGGGGGGTTATGATGTATCGGTCTGGGTTCACCGGAGAAACAGGACCAACGTACAGACACACACGCGCACACACACACACACATAAATGGAGAGAGAGAGAAAAAGAAAGATTGAAATTGAGATTTATTTTTATAAGTTGGCTGCCATGATTGTTCAGGCTGCAAGCCCAAAATCTGCAGGGCAGGCCAGCAGGCCGGAGACTTGGGGAAGAGATAATGTTGCGGTTTCAAGCCCAAAGGCCATCAGAGGCAGAATTTCTTTTGCCAGAAGACCTCATTCTTTTTTCCCTAAGGCCTTTGACTGGAGGAGACCCACCCACATTATGGAGGGTGATCTACTTTACTTAAAGTCTACTGATTTAAATGTTAATCACATCTTAAAAATACCTTCACAGCAGCATCTAGACTGGTGTTTGAGCAACCAGCTGGGTACCATGGCCTAGCCAAGCTGACACGTGACATTAACCATCACTTGTGATCCTAAGGGTTGGCCCGTCTCTGCACTAGGGTCTGTACGCCCCGTCCTTATCCTGAATCAAAACGTACAGAATCCTATTATGAGTGAGTTAAGCAGAATCCCCCAGATCAGATCGGTGCTTTCTAAGTGGAGTTGACTTTTTATTATTGTCCTGCTGTAACTACACACCTGGCCGTGCATCCTGTTTCTACCTGTTTCAGACATGGGGTGTGTAATGGTCTAGATGAGCTTCCTGGCTTGGGGGCCTAATTTATGAACCGAGCTCTTTTCTTTATCAATTCACTCATGGCTTTTTCTGGCAAAATAAGGCTTTCCCTTACGTGACCTTATGTGATGGGCAACAAGGAACCAAAACCAACCAACCAGCCAGCAACACCCAGGTCCCTGGGCCATCCCAGGTGGTAGCAGGTGGCACCTGGTTCTGACGCGCCAAGTGGCTGGGTGAGGCTCGCTATCCATCAGAGGGACAGCAAGCTCCAGGAAAGCCCAGGACAAGCTGGACTTGCTAGAGTTACTCAAAGAAAACTGAGCTCCCAGGGTTCCTCTGCTGCAGAGGGGGACAGGCACTCTTCCCAGGCACAGTTCTTTACCCAGCCTGGGCTGATGGGGACGCAGAGCAGTGTCCGTCCCTGTTAAATCCATGCATTTGCTGTTCAGATGATGAAGCAGGTACCATGTGGGTTCATTTTTATCGTCCCAGAGCTGGGACAGACCCACACTTTTGGTGATGATGGGCAAGTGACTTGCCCAGCATCACCCAGCAAGTTCTGGAGAGAGCCAGGAATGGGTCCCAGATGTCCAGATTGCCAAGCCATGACCACAGCTGGTGTCCTTGGGTGCAACACCCATGGGAGCAAAGCCAAGAAGGAAGGGGGAGGGTACAGATCTTTGGAACGCAGAAGCCTGCGGTCATTCTTCAGTGGCCATCTTACCCCCAGTGGCACAGCCATCAGGGGAGAGTCTGAGAGGTCCAGCTCTCTGCAGCTCAGTCTTCAGAGGCCGAAGATGGGGCTTCCTCCAGGCACTGGTTGCTGGAGCCTGCAGAGATCACCCTCTGGAAGCCCCGTGGGTCACCTCCCAGCTTCTCCCTCTCCTCCATGGAACAATACACAGCATCAATGGTCTTGGGTAGAGGATCCTTTATGGGGCCACATTTTCACAAGGTCCCATTTTGTAAACATCCATGCACGTCTGCAGTGGGTGGAAATGGTGGATGGAGAACAAGAAGCTGTTCTGCGTGTGGCTTGCATCCAGGGCCTCACGTGGTCCCCTCTCTGAGCTGCCTTGTGGGGTTGGGACTGTGCCGTGAGGGTGCAAAGAGAGCGTGCTCAGAACTGGGAGCTTGCATCGCATCAGCCACCACGCAGTTCCAGGTCCACTTGGGTGCTGGGAGCACTGCCCGGGGAGCATCGGAGGGAAGCCAGGAGTCCCTGCAGGCAGCAGCATTGCAGAGTGAGGAGTGAGAATGTGTGTGGGGGGTGTGATTAGATCTGTTTCTGTTATGTAAGGCAATTTAGCATCCTGCTCCCTAGGAAATTTCTTTCGGAGAAAATAGGCCATGCAAATGAAAAGGTATAATCGGGTGATCGGTTGCATTAGGTAACACATGCTCGGAGGGCAGTGAGGTGGGCTGGTTGTAAACAAACATGTTTCTTCTGGGCTGTTGACTCTTTTACATGGGCTGACCCTGAATTTGTCCCCTGCAGGGAGTGCTCAGGGCTGAATTCTTGATTTGTCCCTGGAAAACAGTTACTCTGAGATCCCTGATTCTTTTAGGCTAGAGAAGGATATTCTGGGGGTTTGGGGAGGAGGTGCCAGGAAGATTGGGACTAAGTTAACAAAGGTGGCCTTAACAGGGTTTCCCACAAGTTTCTGTCTGGTGGTACATTTTCCCTTCTGCCCCCAGAGCAGGCTTTCTACTCATTGCCAATAGCTCTTTGTCAGTTACAGGAGAAATTTTGTCCCACAGGCCAACCTCGGTCTCTTTCCACAACAGACACTCACACGCACATTTCCTGTGCGAATGAGCTCGATCCCAGTGGCAGTACTGGCCCCCAGAAGTTTTGCATCTTGATCACTAAGCTTTCGAGGACCCAAAAAGGTTGGAAAGGAACTAAAATGAACCCATAAAGCCGCCAGCAGCTCTCTAAACATGGGGGTCCCAGAGTAGCCTGGAGAAAGGTTCGCCGTTAGGTTTAAAAAAGCTATCCTAAAAAGGAAGGAACTGCAATTCTGTCTTTTCTTCCAAATATTGTTTTAAAATGTATGACGAAGGTATGTTTGATTATGTCTTCCTGTTCAAGGCGTTAACAGGTAGAACTGATGACTTCTGCATAAAAATAGAGATAGAACTGAGCAAAAGAAAGAGATTCTGTCAGACTTTTCAGGAAAGGCCTCTTTGGTGCTAGATGGGTGTGTATGTGTGTGTGTGTGTTTGTGTGTGCGTGTAAAAGCTCCTTCTCCTTCACCTTCGAGAAGGTGGGCTGTGAGTGTGTTATGGAAACAGAGAGAGAGAAGCAGTGCAAGATTGTCATTGTTCTCTGCTGGCTTGGCCAAGGTGACCTGGAGCACTTGGTCTCCTTCATAGCATCCCAGAGAGCAGCCTGGAGCATGTGGCCTCAGCGGTAGCATTCAGATGGCGTTGGAGGAGCCGTGGGTCTGCAGCGAGCTCCTGCCTCCATGCCAGCAGCCGTGTCTGGTCTTTCCACTGTTGGCATCACCTGCCCCTGCCCCTGCCACTGGCCCTGGCCCTGGCTTTGACAGTGAGCTGCCAAGTTGAGGGTTGACAACACTGACTTCAGGGCTGGGAAAATCTGAGTTTCCACTGGGGTCACGGGTGGATTATTTAACCAGTTCAGGCTGTTTCCTCATGAGTAAAGGAAGTCACAGAATTTGCCTCCTGGTGGGTCATGCTCTTAGTGCAGTGTCTGGCGCCCTGTGTGTTCTCAAAAAAGGCTGGTGGCAGCTGCTAAGGTGCTGAGGAGGCAGTGTGGGGAAGTTCACCTCTCCTGTCTTCCCACCCCCTGCTCTGTTGGGGACAAGCCACGTCAGCTGAGGGCCAGGTCCCCAGGGAGCTGCAGGCCCTGGCAGCGGCACACCAGGCTCGGCACCCCCTTCTCGTTTCTCCCCGCTGTTCTTTCCCACTCAAGAACTGGACATCGCAAACCCGAATCTGCAGAGGTTTTGAACGTCCTTGTTAGAAAGGGCTATAAAAGTGCAAAGAGATGTTTTCCTTGAGAAGCTTTTCAACAACATACATGAAAAATAGATGAGCTCTCTTGATTTTCAAAAGCTTTAGTTGAGGGCAAAAATGTGAAAATATGTCTTTTTTTTCCTCACGGGGCTGAGGTCAGGGATGCAGTTGCCTCTGTTTAACGGGAAACACCAAGCACAGTCTTTAAGGCCAGAAAAAAAGAACTTCTGTGGCTGCTTCTTAGTGACATCACCACCCTTCCCAGAAGCTTGAATTCAATTTATTTTAATTCAGTTCAGTTTCCACTGGCCTCTTTTTTTTTTTTTTTTTTTTAACATTTCAATAACTATTAAGCTCTCTGTAAGTATCTGGCTTTATGCCAGAGGCTGTGGGCTTGAAGATACATAAAATAGTCAAATTCACTCCCATTAGAAGGATTATAATCTAGCTCAGCAAAGGCAAGATTTACAGCAAAAAAAGGCTACATGCAAGCGAGTTCCAAGTACACAAGTAAGTGCTCACATGACTAGAGGGTAGGAAGCGCCAGGGCCGCCCAGGCCTCCCAGGATTTGTTTTGTCCGCGTTGCGTCGGACGCCTCCTTGGCTCGGCTGCACGGATAGTATCTCGTGTTAAGGTGGAAGCAGTTACTATTCAAGCTGCCTTTGCAGAGCCGTTGCTGTGGGCACAATCTCTGGGCACCACGTTAAATGCGGACGGTAGATGCAGAAGTCCTGATCTGTTTTACCTCAGTTTGTTCAGCTCGTTCCAGAAGAATTGACTTCCTAGAGGTGGCCTTGCGCTTGCTGGAACACCTTGAAACAGCACAGTGCGAGGGAGCTAGAGGCCCCCAAAGCCCACTTGTCACCCGGGCGGAGGGAGGAGGCTGGGACTTCCACTGGGCCCTGGCTCTTCCCTCACTCAGCACAGCTGGGAGCGTCGAGACTTGAAAGGCTGGCTTTTCTCTAATCCACGTGGGTGATGGATGTGCTTGTGCGTGTGTCTGAGCATGTACGTTTGCTTCTGATTTGTAGGATAAAAAGCCCAAAGAACAAGAAAAAAGAGGAGACTTTCTTCATCGACCGTTCTCCAAGAAGCTGGACAAGAACCTGCCCTCACACAAGCAGCCCTCGTCCTCGCTCATCACGCAGCTGCAGAACACCAAAGCCCTGCTGAAGGACCGCAAGGCCTCCAAGCCCGCCCTCCCTGACAAAGGTGGGTCGGCCCTGCGGCCCCCACCAGGCCACTTGTGTCCAGCTGCATGTTGGCTGTGTACCCCTCCCAGGGCATGGCCAGGGGGCGCTGGGCCAGACTCGATTCTTAGGCCCACGGGAAAGTGGAATTACAGACCTCAGGTAGCCCGAGAACAACCGGGGGCCAAACTGGGTGGTGTAGGCCACCTGGAAGGAGTTGAGAGCACAGAGATGGGGTACACGAGATTATGGAAACAGAGATTGGGGTGCATGATAGTGTAAGAATAGAGGTTAGAGTGCACAGTACTGCAGGAGCAGAGATTGGGGTACATATTACTGGGGGAGGAGATATTGGGGTGTATGGCACTGTAGGAGCAGAAGTTGGGGTACATGTTACTGTGGGAGCAGATATCGGGGTATATGGGACTGTAGGAGCAGAGATTGGGGTACATGGGGTTGTGGAAACAGGTGAGTGTGTAAGGTGTTGCAGGCATGGAGATCGGGTTTCCCCATGGTGGTATCGTGGGCACTTCCCCAGAAAGAGGGCCCGGTGAGGCACTGCAACGTGGTGAGTCTGGGCTCTGTGGTGGGGGTAGGGTGCTCGGACCTGAGTTCCAACCCCAGCTCTACTTACTGCCTGTGGAGGCCGGGTTCCCTCACCGCTGACGGTCTTCACCGAGTCCCTTACTTGCAGTGACTCCTACCTGTCGGAGCTACTGGGTGGATGAGACGAGTCGCCTATGTCGGCTCTTTGGGCTGATTCAGAATCCAGCACATCACAGATAACTGACAAATGTGTCTCTCTCCTCTGGGACGAGTGGCAGAGCTCACTGGGCACAGGCTCAGCATGCAGGGTAGAAACGCCGAGATGGGGGGACGCGGGAGCCGGGAGCGTGCTGAGGCAGAGCCATGAGGTAGAGGAGAGGTTCTTACTGACGGGGATGGGTGAGATCACAGAGTTCCATCGCTTTGTCGCAAACATGAAGACACTGAGGTTCGGACAGGGCCGTGGCTGTCTGCGATCAGCTCAGGCATGCTGGACCCTTCGTCCCTGAGCGGGACTCAAACCCACCTCCTACCCTCCTCCCTCCCACGCTGCCCCCGACGGGAGCTACTGTCCCCACATTGCCCGCAGCACCCTGGAGCAGAGCCCACAGCGGACCTCGGAGGGGAGGCGGTGCTCACGTGCCAGCCGGAGACGTCGGCCGTTGATGAAGTTCTGCGTCTTTCTGCTGGTGGATCTCAGGCCTCTGTGCCGGCCTGTTTTATTTTGGTGTCTTCGTCCCTGTTTACATAAGACGAGGCGGCTTCCCAGTGCCCTCCGCTGCTCCCGACATCACTCCCAGCGGGCAGCAGCTTGCTCCCGCCTCTGGGCCTCGCCAGGGCCTATAAAATGTTACGGGAGAAGAAAGAAGCGAATACAGAGCTTGTTCCGCATGAACTTGGCTTTATTCCTCTCGGCTCCAAATCTGTAGGGGGTTTTCCCTTTCTCTTCTGACACAGTTTGCAAACTGGATTCTAGTCTGTGCCAGCTTGAGATGGGAACCGTGGGGATTGGCCGGTTGCCCTGACTGTATGGATGAAGCGTGTTCTGCCCTGCTCAGAACTGGAGGAGGCTCCGCAGAGATCAGAAATCACGCGGAGCCCTGAAAGGGAAGGAAATCCTGACACGTGCTCCGGCGTGGATGAACCTGGAGGACGTCAGGCTGAGGGAATTGCGGCAGCTGCAAAGGGCAGATACTGTATGATTCCGCCTCCACGAGGGCCCTAGAGCAGTCGGGTTCACGGAGACAGACAGTCAGTGGTGCTTGGCAGGGAGTTCAGGGAGTAGGGAATGGGGCGTTATTGTTTAATGGGTAGGGGGCGTTAGATTTGCAACAGGAAAAGAGTTCTGGAGACTAATTCTACAACAGTGTGAACACAACACTGCTGGATTGCACGCTTAAAAATGGTTAAGATGATAAAAATTCTGTTATATGCTTTTTCACCATAATAAACTTTTTTTAAAAAGTCGTGAGGGAAACACTCCTTCCCGTGTGGGCTGTCCAGGACCAGACTGGCAGGGGCTGGGTGTGCTTCCGAGAGTTTTAGGGATGTCGTGTCGAGCACAGGCACCTTTTTTATTCCAAGGCACTTTGGCAGGGTCCAGAATTTTAAGCAGCCAAAAGGGGGACAGATGTTAACCTGGGGTGGTGAGGCAGGAGACCTCTCTCCAGCCTCCTGTACCCTCCTTCCTAGAAGGACTCCGGGCCTCTGAGGGGAGAATCGGATGCTGCTGGCGGAGTAGCCAAGGCCCTTTGCTAGTTGGTTCCTCCCAGCCTCCGCAGGTCACTGTCTCAGTCCACCTGGGGGTCAGAGCAGCAAGAGGGGGCCGTGCATGCCATCTGGGTGGCTGTCTTCATGATTTTGTGTGTGCTTTCTTGGTGTGCAGATTCCTTCGGCTGCCGAAATATCTTCCGCAAAACCTCCGATTCCAATTGCGTGGCTTCTTCTTCCATGGAATTCATCCCTGTCCCACCCCCCAGGACCCCCAGGATAGTAAAGAAACTGGAGCCCCACCAGCAAGGGCCCGGGAGCACGGGCGTCCCCACCAAGGAAGACCCCCTGATGCTGGACATGGTGCGCTCCTTCGAGTCTGTCGACCGCGATGACCACATAGAACTGCTGTCCCCCTCTCATCACTATAGGATTCTGAACTCCCCGGTGAGCTTGGCTCGCAGAAATTCCGGCGAGAGGACACTGTCACCGGGGCTGCCGTCCGGAAGCACGTCACCTCTCCACACTCCTTTGCATCCCACTCTGGTCTCCTTCGCTCATGAAGATAAGAACAGCCCCCCCAAAGAGGAAGGTGTGTGCTCCCCACCTCCGGTTCCCAGCAGCGGCCCCACGCAGCCTCTGGGGAGCCCGAACTGCGTGAAAAGCCGAGGCAGGTTCCCCATGATGGGCGTCGGGCAGATGTTGAGGAAGCGGCATCAGAGCCTGCAGCCGTCTGTGGACAGGCCCCTGGAAGCCGGCCTGCCCCCGCTGCAGCCGGCAGCCCCCGCGAGCCTGTCCTTTGACGTGGCCGATGGGCTCAAGGGCCAGTGCTGACCTGGGCCAGTGGGAATTCTGGGTTTCTCTAAAGAAAAGCAATGGAACAGCGCTGCACACATCTGTCAGGGTGTGAACAAACAGAGATCTCGAGTGGAGCACCCTTTATGGCCTCATCTCTTCCCGCCGTGCAATCCCGCCTGTAGTCAAAACCCACAGACCCAAAGCCTGCACGGCCCAGCCTCACTTGGGGACCCTGGAGATGCTGGGGATGGAGAGGAATGTCGGCTCCAGGACAGCCACTCCCAGCCCTTCGGATCCCCCTTCCTCCCACGTCCTGCCCCTGCTCCTGCCGCCCAGATTCCAGACTGTTACCAGACCTTTCTTCACTCTCTGCGACATGTGTGCCTCTCAGAGGGTTGTTCTCTTTTCAGCCGTCGGCCACAGTCACATGGGGACCAACAGCGTCACAAAGTCACTCATCCAGGCCACGGTTTCCTCCGCAGAGCGAAGCGGCCCTTCCTTTCCTAGCAGCGATTCCCCCGCAGGCCGGCAGGAGCTGGCGACAGGAAGTGGGGGCCCCAGGAACCTCCGTGAAGACAGTGAGGAGCCTCGGGCAGAGACCGAACCGAACGGCGGGACCCAGACAGAAGGAAACTCACCTCCCAAGCAAGGTTTTGACAGGTGTTTTTCTTTTATTGAAACTTGCTAAATGGTCGAATGTTCTTCTCCAAAGAGATTTTTCTTTACATGATGTCAGTAACCTGGATGGAGAGATGAGAGGCGATTCCACCAAACTCACGTTTGTACGAGAGAATGTAGCGTGGAGAACAAAGTCGCTGGCCCTGGTGATGCGTTTAGTGGCGGGGGCTGGCGGGAGGGGCAGGATCCACTTGCCCTGTGTTCATCCCATTGTATCAGCATAGCCCCGATCCTTCCGGAAGGCGTAGAACATAGTTGGTTCTTTAGAAAGCAGGAAAAGATGGTCGTGGCAGGATTCAGATGGCAAGAAGACGTCGTTACCTCTGCAGTGCGGTTTTCAAGCTGCCCGGAAAGCAAGTGCAGTTCAGAGCACAGCTAGTGTGCTGTGAGCTGTGAACAGGTTTGCCTGGAGGGAACCTGTTCAAATACGGGCCCATTTCTTCTTCGAGGAGAGCAGTGTTCCCCACACAGGGTTCAGTCCATGCTGTGTTTTCACACCTTTCACCGAGCATCGAACCAAAGATGCGTCTCCGGTTTTGTGTCTGTTCCGTCCCTGTGTGTGCGTTTTGTGGACCCCCGTGTTGTTTGACTGTGTCCAGCTGGAGCCTGATGGTGGCTGTCCCCACATGGGGCCTTGGCCCTAGCATTTGGCAGGGAGCACTTGGTCACGAACAGAATCGGAAGAAGAATCCGGAGCATAGGTTGGACAGTGGTTGGTTTAGGAGACTGGAATCCTCAACTTTTGACTAGCGCAGATGTGACTAGAGACCATCGCTGTGGTCCCCCTGGGGTGGTCATCTCATCCATTGATTCCAAGACGGGCCAAGGCCCTTGAGAATTGCAAAGCCAGCCTTCATTTCCCTCGCAGCTGGCCCTTGCCAGAGGGCAGGGAGGTGGTTCTCTATCATTTTCTCATTCACCAGTGGTGACTTCCTCTGTCCCCTCACGTCTCTGACTAAGTGAGAAGAGAACGCTATTTGGCTGACTGCGGAAACCCCTTCAATGCCCCAGTCTTGGCTGACCTTGCGAAGACCTGGAGCTGCTTCCTCCCTCCCAAGGGGACGACCCCAGCTCTAGGGTGTGTTAGGAGGAGGTCAGACTCCTGGCTGTTGGTGTTATTCCTGCGCATAGCTTCAGACCGGGTTCCAGAACTTAACATTGAAAACAGAGCTTTTTTAAGAGAGAGAAGAAATCATCTAAGACTGACCCTCTCTCCATCTGATGTGAAGAGTTTGAATTTTGGTTGGTGAAGGGAACTTCCCTAAAGGTGACTTCCGGCTGCATCTGTCCCATTCTGCAGGTTTGCAGGGTGTGCACCTGTGCATTGTGAACTTTCTGGAGCCCCTGATGTCTGTTTCTTGCATGGCGCTTTCCTCAAGAACAGGAGCATTTCCGCGTGGCTGTTCGCCCGTGGGGAACGTGTTTCTCATTCCTCGCGTGCTTCAAGAACAGCTGCAGAACCGTGCCACTAACTGACCGCATCTCCACTGGTGACTTTGACTCTGAACTCAGGTTTATTCTGAACACAGTGAGAGGTGGGGGGAGGTGAGGCAGGGGGGGAAAAACTGTATTTTTTGTGTGTGTGAGCACCTGACAAATCTATGAAACCAAGTGAAAGGAAAAATGTTAAATTCTTTATTATTTTATTATATTTATATGGAAAACTTGACTATCCCTTTGGTAAGTACAAGGTGTGTTGTCTGTCTGACCCATGGCTGTCTTCCTTAGTCTGTGCCTGTGATTCCAGTCGGCCTGTAGTTACTGACGGGAATGGCCTGAACTGTCAACGTGTGACGTCCAGGAGGAAAAGTCCGTTTTGATTGTATGATTTGGTCGTAAGTAAGGACTGTGTTTGTGTCACCAACATTAAGTATATGTACTTTTCTAATGACTGTGAAATACACTTTTCTCTCACTATGACTGCTTCTTTATTTGCTGATAAATCTTAAGTCATGGAGTACATTGCAAATAGAAATACAGGCACCATCTTTTACGTAAAGTTCTTGGCCCAGCAACTGGATACAAGTAGGAATTGAGTTGTGGGGCATTTTCTGCTCCAGTTCCCCTGCCTCACTGTACCTGCAACAGGTGTGCCTGCAAAGTCTATGTGACTGACCTGCTGCACAGGGCAGTTCAAGGTGAATCAGCATTTTTCGTTTTGGGGGTGCTCAGGATCTCTCATGGTCCCGGGACAGGGGAAGAGGGATGATGGGATGGAACGGGGAGGTGTCTAGATTACTTGTTTGGATTGTTCCGGTTACCACCTTATTCATAACCGTGCACAGAACGTTTTTCACATATACCACCTTGCTTAAACCTTTGTGTCCCCCTGTACAGTGAGGGGACAAAGGCTCAGAGGGTCACATAGCTAGGAAGTGGAGAGGCCCGCTGTTCCCACTACACAAAACTCTCTCCGAAGTTCTGGGGGAAAAAACGAGTATCTAGTTTTGATGACAATGTTGTTGTGTAGGAACCACAACATTTTAGAACAGAAAGGGATCTGAGATTCTCTGGTTCAACCCCAGCCTTTTTGAACAAGGGAAAACTAAGGCCTTAAATTGTTTAAGGACACCCCAGAGTCCCCAGATGAGCTGGCACCGGATCAGGTCTATAGCACAGGGTTCCTCACTCAAAGAACACAGAGAAATCAGAGTGTGGCTGTGTGGTCGCAGGGAAGAGTCAATAGCAGATCAGGCTGTTGTTACGACAGGTATTTGTGAGGTTCCTGCGAGGCCCAGGTCTTGCATTTTTAAATCATTTTCGAAATTGTGCCGCTTCTTGAGATGCTGAGCACCAAGCTCTTGCCGCCATCTAATCTCCAGGCTGGAAAGAGACAGCTTTCCTTGGGGTCTCTGTCTTTCTCAATAGATTTCCTAAGTAAGCTGCAACCCCCGGACAGCCTGGTTATCCCAGTTAAAAGGCTCTTGGGTCTTACCAGATTAAATCAATAAAACATTTTTCTATGGAGCTGTATCACAAAGCGAGACGAATCCAGAAAGAATGCAAAACTGATATATATGTAGGGGGGTCTGGAGGCCTCTTGGTTATTGCATTTGTTTTCTTTGTAGGATCCTCTGTGTGCTACAGGCATAGTAAGAATAATTCAGAGCAGTACTGGGAGCTGGTTCAATTTCATGTCATCACTTTTCAATGAAAGGAGCGTGTTTCCTGAGTAGTAAATGAGTGTATTATTTGTGGCAGCTTTTCTGTCAAGGGAGCTTTTCAGACATCTGGTTCCAAAGACAAATGGGGTATATATTTGTACTTCTTCTCTGTGGACATGTTTTCACAACACACAGTTACCTCTAAGACTCGATGTCTGTGTGCGCTAAGGGACTGGGGGAAGGGGCTCTGGGGGAGAAGGCAAGGACGTCGCAGGCTCTGCCATCCCCTTCTGCAGGTATTCACATCTGAGTTGGTGTTCAGATAATGAGGCATTTGAAGGAACCGATTCTGGAAGCGTAGAATAGCTTGATGTGTAGCAAACTCAAGGATCAATTGAAGTTGAGTGGTTTAAAACTTAAAGGTGGCACATTGCAGAGAGGATAATGCCAGAAAAGTGTGTTATTTACAGGTGAAAAAATAAATGGCTCTGCCTTAAGGACCTGAGCTACTTGTGTTTCCTCCTTGGAAGATTGGCCTTAAGCTATTTTGAAAGCAAAGGCTTTGGCTTATGTTTAAACTCTATATCATAACAAAAATATATTCTTTCTAGGCCTATTACCACAGCCAGCTGGAAGAGGGCAAATTGCAAGCCTGTATTGGGAATAGGGCTTCTTGTCCAAAATGGGGCAGTGAATTCATGGCAGGTCTGAGATTAGAATTCCACCCCTGACCCTTGCATCAGTGTTCAGTGCTCACCTCCTCTGGCAACCAGTATGTTAGATAGATTAGGCTTTGCTATGGTAACAAATTCAACCCCAAACCTCTGTGACTTTCCCAGTAAAGGTTGATATCATACATAAATTTTTGTGAAGCTTGGCTGACTCCAAAGCAGCTCTTTTCCATGTGGTGACTCAGGGATCCAGGGCTACATCGAGCTCGTGGCTCCATCCACTCAAAATGAAACTTCTCTGGCTGTTACAGCAGAAGAAGGGTGAGCTGTGGAGTTTTCCACTAGCCAGTAAGTGCTCTGCAAGGAGGCTCTTCACCCCTCACTGCCTATTGGCTGGAGCTGGTGGTGTGGCCTTGCCAGTGAGCAAGAGGCTGGGAAATGTGGGGGAGAACATGGCTCTTTGGGGTGCAGCTGATGTTTCTGCACCTTAGGGAAGGTACAGATGCCTGCCATTTAAAGGTCCCTAAACTTGGACTGCCTTTTCCCCACTGTTACACATTTATAGCACCTCTTAGTGGGTAAG